AAATTTATCAGAATTTTGATCCTTGAGCAAATCCTATCTATGTAACTTAGAAAGAAAAATCAAAGCATTGCGAAACATTTATATATCAAAATTTTTTATGCTTTTGTTACCTAAATTTTAAGACACTTTAGGAAATTATCAAAATTTGAATAATGTATATTAATTTTAAAGCTCTGAAGGGAGAAATGAACATTTAGCAGTAATGAAACGGGAATAATGGTTCAAAATAGGGTAGGACCCTTACAAAGATTTAAGGTGCTTTGGAGGTTTATTTGAGGTTGTTTTCGGGTATTAAGATTTATTTGAAGTTCAATTGAAGTTGACTTAAAAAAATAATCAAAGCGTATGATGTTGTTTTATTCACACTTGAGGTGCTGCACTGAGGTAGCAACTAACTTAGAGAGGTTATTTTTGAGGTGCACAAGTTCTTTTTTTCTACACTTCGAGCAATATATATATATATATATTTGTAATATATATATATATATATATATTTGTAGTATATATATATATTTGTATACATAATTATTGCATATTTTAATACTCTTAAGTATCTTGTTTAGTATGTGCCTCTTAATTTTTTATTCTCTTGTAATATTTCATACTCAGTAAAATGCTGAATAAATTCAAATTCTCTATCAATTTGCAGTGTGTTTTTTATTCAATTATAAAAGACTATAAGCAACAGTTCTGTTGGAAATTTTTCTAATACGTGTTAGTACATGTTGGTGATTTAAGTATTTTCTCTCTCAGAATCACAACACTCATTAGCTTAACTCAGTGCATTTATCATTTCCACAAAAATATTCCCACTGAAGACTACATACCTATTTTCAAATAATTATGTACAGAAAGACAGTAAAGAATTTTAAAGAATTGATAGAGTACTGTGCATTTTTTAATAGTTTTGCATAATTTCTGATATTATTTTATGGATCCAAAATTATTGACGTCATTATATCCAAAAGAAACATTGCTAACTAAAATAATATACTTAAATATATTTATAGCATTCTGCCAAACAAGACTTTCTTTTCCTCCCTTAAATCCAGAGTCCCATAAAATGCAGAATTGTTTAAAGTAGGTTCTACAGTTTATACATGTAAAACATTTTCTTCTAAATTAAGTGCTATAACACTAAGGCCTCAAAAAAATGAAATGAAAAATAAGAGTAGTTACCTCTATGACAGGCTGAGTATCTTGAAGAAAACCACGTGCTCTGTCTGGATGATTACAAAGGAAGCACCCCCAAATATTTAGAGGTCCATTGTATTCAAAAACATCAAAAAATCTAGCAGTTCTTAATTCATTGATTAAGGTATCTTGATCCTAAAAATGAACAGTCTTTAAGTCACTTAAAATATAACATTATGCATTTGAGTATCAGGGAAAGCAACTTAAAAAATATTAAATGGAATCCTCTATAAATTTTGCATACCGACGGATCAGTCCTGATTTTCGCTGAAAAATGCCAAACAAGGAGTTATTTTCCCCTTACCAATTATCCTCAAACTTATTACTCTTTTTTGTGCCACTTATGGTAATAATCTATCCAATTATCTGATTCATCAAAATTAAATTGTTCTCATTAGAGAAACATATAAATTTTTATTCTTCAAAACATGTGCACATAAAAGTTGAGATAGTGCATTTTTAACATTTTTGTATCCAGATATTGATCAAAGTCTATTGACTTTTGTTTTATTTTGTCATTAATTATTTTACTTATTATAGTCTGAAGTAAATATTTAATGTAAGGAAAAATATCTGTTTTGAAAGAAAACACTAAAAATTAATTTTAAAAGTTTTATTACAATAGTTTTTATTTTTTAGAATAATAGTTGTCAAGGCTGCTATTTAAATAAGCATAATTACTATTGAAGGATTTTTAAATAACCGACATACAATCTGGTAGGAAAAAAAACAAGCAAACCAGCATTATCTGTAAAACAAATGTGAGCAAAATTGAATTTCACAGAAATATTTGTCTTGGTTAGACAATTACACAATTATTTTAACAAAACAAATTGGTGAGAGCTAAATCAGTTTTTAAAGATAAATTTTAATTTTTTATTCTTCAAATGGCACATTACATATCAATATATTGGAATTCTTTTTAACTTTTAGCTCCTGATATAACAAGAAATAATTCAATGTTCATGTACAGTGCAGGAGAAAAAAACAACAAATAACCCTAAATAGTACTTGTGATCGGATCTTCACATACTGGGCTTCAATCTTAATGGTTAAAGGAGGTGACTTTAAATATGCTAAATAATTAGTGGATGAGATATTTTAAGCTAGGAAATCAGACACACAAACATACTTTCTTTTTTGACAAATTTAAATCCATAACCTTAAAAGTATAGGGAGTAACAATAATCTAGGAAACATGGTCTCAATAGTTTGGTCGGGAGAACTTTAGACCCCTTAATTTAACTTTTTGCATATTTTGATATATCCCCAGAATTTTTTAAACAAATCGAAAATATTTCTTTAAGTTTTTATCAGTACACAAAAACACATGAAATATATAAACTTGATAGATTAGTAGAAAAATTAATAATCAGCATTTACTATCTTAAATGTTCACAAGTGGCTACCGTTCAAAGGTTTAGAATCAAAATTTGTTCAAAACATCAGCGAGTTTGCAATTAAAGTATCCTCTAATGATTTTTTTTATAATGAGCTCCTTGATTGTGTTCTTGAAAGAATAGCAAATTGTTTTTAAAAACAATAGCAGCAGTTTTAGTTTTTCCAGATCCAAATTATTATTTTTTTTTGCTACATTGCATTTTCCTGAATAATGGCCTTTGATAGTCAACAACACTTAGCGACAGATTATGTTCTAACCATGTAAAATAGACTTCAGCTCTTAGTACATTGTCATCATCAGTCTCAAAATGTTGTCCATTTCCATTAGAACACTTAACTCTTTTTACCTTTTTGTGCATTAATGCCAATATTATCTCCATGAGCATCTTCAAATACAAATCGAAAACAGTGCAAAATGCCCCCCCACTTCAAATTGTATAACACAAAGAAAATTTGCAGAATAAAATTCTAAAAAATATTGATTGTAAACTTTGGACATTTTAGCTCGATTGAAGATATATATCACAATATTACATGTGAATCTAAATGGAAACGAAAAACGAACAGCAACAAACTTAACCCCAGCAATGCCAAAAAAATACTTTCAATATAGAAACTCTCAGAAAGTAAAACGCAGGCTTCATTGATCAAAAACGTCTGTCACATGATTTCAGTGCATCCAGTATTGGGTGACGCACCACTGTTGTTCCGTCACACAACAAACACGTTGTTCAGGATAAAGAAAAACTGGTCTTTCGACTTGCGTATTTTATTGATGTTAATTTCCAACGCATATTGATTGCTCGTGCATGTGGCCAATTTCAACAAGTGTATAACTTGAATTTGATTAGATCCTTTAGCCATCAGCAATTAAAATTCAACAATTTAAATAGACATCATACTAAAATTCAGTTTTCACTGCTTTAAATAAAAAGAAAAACACTTTGACTTTAATTTGAAAATGAATATACAAAAGACTGCACAAGAAAAACATATGACCAAACCAAACAAGTTTGCAAGTATAATAATGATTCAATTATTTGAAAAAAAATTTCAATCAAATTTTCGAAGTTTGTCATAATACAGTAATAGTAAAATGTTGAAATAATAGCACGTGATAAAAAAAATTTTTTTTAGAACATTTGACACTTAATTATGTTTTTAAAACTTTTTTTATATTATTATACCCAAATATTTTTTAATGTTTTTTCATAATGAGTAATTGTAAACAATAACTGTTTTCGGCTTGCATAAGAATTTCATGTGTTCTATATTCTGTTAATATGAATATAGAGATTACGTTTTTTTACCTACAGTTAAAATTTACATTACATTTTAAAACATTACAGTTATAAAAGGTAAGATAAGCCCATGGCTGTGGGACACATGCTTACCTAAAGAAAAACAAACTTCCAGGTGAGATTAGAAACTTACTTTGAATTCTTTAAATTGATACTACTTTTTTTAATGGGTTATGGAGGAGCTAAATAGATTCACCAAATGCAAGTTGAAGGTTAGAAGGGTAAAAATGTTTAATAATAAATTATTAATGGATAGTTTAATTATATTAATGACAACTTGTGTATTTTACTCATTATTAAGCCTATTTTAGCCTCATTATTAAGCCATTATTTAAGCCTAATTTTTAAAATGAGCCAACATGAGAATTGCTTCATCTTAAAAATTTCATTGCTTCACTACCATGCCACTAAGACTAGCACAAATATAAACAGAATACAAATCAATTCTTAACAGTTTATATGCCATAAGCATAACTGTAAGTAAAGCAATAAAAATTATAAAGATGGTCTTAAGAATTTGGTTATTGCAGATTCAACAATTTGGCTTATAGTTACAAATGACGAAAATTACAAAGCAATAATCGTAATATTATATCATATCATTCATATCATAAATATTAAAACTATTATCTGAAATTATTAAAAGAAAAATTTGCATTCAAAAATATGATAGGATTCCAAAAAATCAAGCTTTACATAAATATTTTAATAATTACTTTGGCAGAAGGGAAAGCAGAAGTAACAAGAGTTAGAAAACTTTTGTTGTCTGCTTTTAATGTATCCCAACAATTTTTCAGACTGCTTACAGAAGCTTCACGAGTACTGAGAGCCATTGAAGCTCGAGCCTAAAATAAAACAAAAGACAGAAAAATATTTTTATATTAATTTCAAATGACATTATGAAATTAATTTAGGATAATGCATAGCATCTATCTTACTTGCAATGCTAAAAACATTAAATGGATCCATACACGTGGATTACGTGTTTTCATTATGAAAAATGTTTTGTTGTACAAACAATGCTCCCCTTTGCCTTGGCAGGCAAAATAAATTTTAGCATGTTTCCGTGCTTTTCTTTCTGGAAAACAAAAATTTTCTTTTAAATTTCTAGCCCACTTTGATTGTTAATAACTATACATGCTAAACCTTCACAAAAGAAAATAATGTAATATCAATGAAGAGAAATGCAAAAAATAAAAAAATAAAATTGATTTATTGTAGAGTATTATAACCAGTGGTATTAAGTTGAGTTATATTTTTTTTTAAATATGGAAAAAAATATTTAGAGTAAGAAAAAAAAAACATTCATACACCACAGACAATTCATTGAATGTCATAAGGAAAATAATTGTTTTAGGAAAATAAAAATGTTTACTTAAAATAACAAGTTTTTTATATGATATTTTTGGGAGTTGTTTATCAGATTCAGTTTTTAACTTTGGTACCATATGAAATTAACTAATGTTATCTTGATTTAAAAAAATTTCAGAAATCAACGCAATACATAATGACTGGGTAAACATGTTTTATAATACACCAAGAAAACATTTACATTTAATGGATTAGTTATAAAAAATAGATTAAGTTAAAATTTAATCCAAAGTCCAAAACTCTTGACAGTTCTAATAAAACTATCAGAAACACTTTTTCAGGACTCAATTACTCCAAATACTTTAAAAGTCAATCATCTGATTTCAGTTAAATATATATGTTTATTCAAAGCAATTAAATTTTTGCAAATCTCTAAAAGTGGGCACTATATCAAATGGACTGATTAAATTGTCAATATTTCAATCTAAAATTTATCATTAAATCAAAAATTATTTAATTACTTTACCTTTAATTTCCCTTACTGTATGTAATGATAATTGTATAAATGTTAATTATATCTAAAATTGTTAATTAATATCAACAAATTCATGACTACAGCTCATATTTGAATATATTTCAAATTAAGTATAAGTCAAAATTACTATGTATAATAAGTTACCTTCAATAGTACATCTGACAGGTAAAGGTATTTTGACAAACACTTTTACCATATAAGCTTTGATTTTATCTAAATGTTTTTCACAAAAGTGTTGAACAGCATCTCTCATTGGATATGGCTCAAATACAGATATTCTCTGGAAAAAGAAATAGGAAAATAATTATTATAAGTCTCATTAAAAAAAAAAGAAAAAAAAAAGAACTTGCAGACCAAATAATTAACTTAAACATTTTACATTAAGTTTCGAAAAGATCTCCAGATATATATGTATTATTCTAAACAATAATCACAAAAAAAACAAGAATATCAAATAAGTCAGAATTTTACTTCTTTCAAATTTATACAATAAATTTCTAAAAACTATTCGACATAATAGTTGAAAGCAAACATTTACTTACATTTAGAAATTAAAAGATAGATTGGTTTTTATTTATAAATTAGTTTGTAAATACAGTCTCTGCTCTTTAGTGCAACCCCCTAACTTTCTTTATAACCAAGGATGCATAAAAAAAGTCCTGTTTGCTATTCAATAGAAGCAATGTTATTGTCAATTAGAATGTCAAATATTTATTAGAACTTCCACATTAATTCAAATATAGCACCCAAAATTTAGTTGTATGATTTAGAAAAAGTTTTAAAGAAATTACTTAAACCATCATTTTCTTTGAAGTTACCACAAAGTAAATAAAAAAAAAGACATTAAATCCCCTTTGAATGAAGGAAAAGTGACATGACCCCTTAAAGTATTATCCTAAGTCCAAGTCCCAGGTGGTCATAATTTAAGGTCAGACATAATCTGTGCTACTTTCTTTACAAAGGATATAATAAATTTATCAATCATAATTTTCTTATTTGAATTTGAATCATTCATTTTGAGAATTGTCAGCCCCTTGTGTTTTTTATTTTTGAGTAAAAACATGAGGTTTTCATAGTTTCTTGACATTTGTTATTTATCTAAAACAGCAGTTCTGAACCAGCATAGTCTTAAGTTTTTAAAGCATTTTTCACCCATGAAGTATTATTTTAAAGGGTACTTTTATGCATATATTAGAGAAAACAAGTTGCATTATACCAATGTTTCTGTTAATTACCAAATTTTCATTAAAGTACATCAATGCGTTGCTAAAATTAGTCAAGTATTTTTTAAGCTGTGTTAATAGTTATTGTAATTTTGTGCACACACAATAAAACGATTTCAAGTTAGAACAGCTGTTTTTGCCCCCTCTAAGAGGGTTGTTATTTCAAACATCAACTGTAATCAATTCGCTTTTGCACAGAATAAATTTTGCTACAAAAAGAAAGATGTTTTGAATGTAATAAACGAGCAAAATTTTGTCTACAAAATTTTATATTTAATTTCAATAATGATACACCTTGTTTAGAAAAATGAAGGGCACATTAATTCAGATTTTTTTTTAATTATGGGGTACTACTTTTAATACTACTATGATTTAAAGAGTAATTTCAACTCTGAAGAATGACAATGTTTATATTGAATGGAAACAATTTATATACCTGAGGATTTGATGAGGACTGGGAGCCAGAATGTGTAATTACAGTTACACCACTAGTATTTCTTAATTTTGCATTTGGAATAGAATCAGAATTACAAGAATATGCAACTGTTGCAGTTGGTGGGGACACAATGTGACTTGTCACAGCAGATGATACAGGGATACTGAATGAAGGACTGACTGAAGTTGTAGTAGAAGTAGACTGACTTGACCTCAGACCACATGACTCATTTCCACTAACTGGTTGAGCATTACCTATAGACACAGTTACAGGTCCTTCTTCTTGCAAAGTAGGCATGCTATCACTAAAAGAAAGCCATTAAAGCCATTATTTCAGCAGAAATTCCTTCATTATTTAAAACATAAAAATCATGCTTCGCTTGAATTTCAAAAATTGAGAATAATCAATTATAGATATATTATATCAGCTGCCAATAATAAAAAATATGCTGTAGGCAATCTCAGGGGTATTTGTGATACAAAATGAAAAACACTGAAAATTTAAATGCAAAACATGATATCAAGATATCAATTTACATACCTTACATGTTTAATATGATTTTTTTAACTAAGATTTATAATTAAATTACTTACCAATGAGGAATATCACACATTTATAGTGATCCTTACAGTTAAATATATAGTAAAAAGCCACCAAACCAAAAGAATCAAATTGGCAGATTTCTACCAATTGGCTGAAGAATCACATGTATATAAACATCTCGTAAACAGAATTCAGCACAAGTTTCAAAATTAAAATTTTAGATTGCAGAACTCCTTGAAAATTCATTGAATTATAAGCTTTTGAAGAAATGGTCTTGATACATGCAGAATTCCGAGAAATGGGCAGAAAAATTACATGTCCCACTCTTAGAGCTTAGATCCGAAAGGGTGATACAAAAAAAAAAAAAAATTGAGCACTATCACCCCTGCAATCTAGCCAAAATGTTAAAAGTTCTTTAGCAAAAAGGAAAGCTGTAAAAGTTCAGAGATCTGATGAATCTGAATTTTTCCAGACTGTAATGTCTACATACTATTTAAACCCAATTAATAAAAGAAAAGATAAAAATATGCTAATGTTGTATTAATGTACAATGTTAAATTAATATTCTAAAATATATTTCTAAATAAGTGTTATTACTATAAACAAATTATTACTATAGCAACATTAATACCAATTATTTCGATTGGTAAACAAACTAGTGACACATTAAATAGATCAATCTAGGCATTTAAAATTTCAATATTATATTTAGCTATAAGCTACATAAAAGGCGAACCCCCAAACTTGCATCTACAACTAAAAATATTTTCTTAATTGTAAAATCAGAATATTTGAAATAAACCGTAACTGATCCAGTATATGTAAGGAATCCAATCATTTACATTTATATAGCAATAAGTAACAAAGAAATTGTCCATTTTTTAATAACATAAATTATTTTTAATTTCTCATATTAATAAATAATACTAACTTACTAAACATATAACAGATAAATCAAAACTTATACTATAAATATGTATACTTTTTTTTAACTTTCATTACTTTGATGCTTTTAAAATAAAATTCAATAACTATGAGTTATTTCTTTTATCAAAATTTTCAAAATATTTCAATAAAAACTCATGTCAAGTTAATAGAAATTTGACAAGTTACGATATTTCAGTACAGTTAAAGAACTAGACAGATTTTATCCAACCAAAAATCCAAATTCAAGTAATTACTGCATTGGTGTTTAAAAAATTTGCTAATTTATAAACAAATAACAGTTTTTCCCACTATCAGTTTTTTTTTTGCCAGATTTCATCCAAATTATAACAACTAACATTGATATTGATTGGAATTAAAAAATTTAACAAGCATAAAATAAAAAATTACATCACAAGGATCCCCTTGTACAATAATACACAATAATACTTTCTACACAATAATATTTTCTATGGAATCGAAATTACATCTCAAAAAAAAAAANAAAAAAAAAAAAAAAAAAAAAAAAAAAAAAAAAAAAAAAAAACATAAATGTGAAAACATTTAAATTGAAAAATAGCAGCAGTGAGAAATTTCAAAATTTTTTTCAGAATAAAAATAAAACTCCAAATTAATAGGCTTTATGTTAACAGGAATGGCATGACACAAACTTATAAAGATCCCAAAAGAAGTTATAACAGCTGATGTAAGAGTGCCTTTGTAATAAAAATAGGTAACATAATGTCAGTTTTTTACCAGATTTCAATTAAATGAAATTACAACAGTTTATCAAACATTAGCATGCTTTGCATTTGTAAAGAGAATAAGATTTTTTGGGGGGATCATTCATACTGAAGTTTACAGTGAGAAATTCACATGATCAAGATTTAATGTGCATAAAATTTAAATAAATAAAACGTGATACAAACCAGATACAAAATAAAACGTGAAAAAAGATAAAAATGGAGATTTTAAAAAAACTAATAATTTTTCAATTGTTTGGCAAATGATTTTAAAGCATAAACATGCAAAAGCCAGAAAATTTACAATCAAACATTAAAAGTAGAAAGAAAAAAAAAAGCCTTAGACTTAAATAAACCAATACTTTCCAATTCTAAAAAAAAAGAAAAGAAAATTTTTAAACAATAAAAAAGTGACATTTTCTACATTTTTTTTTATTATTCTTATTTAAACATTGAATTTTCATTCATATTTTTTTAAATTTCATGTACACTCCAAATAATTTTGGATTTTTTTCTGATTTATATAAAGAAATAATCTCTGTTGAGTATACAAGCATGACTAACATATTGAAAGATGTGTAACTGTTTAGTTAATACAGAAAAAAATAGTTTTGCATTTTAAAATTACAACTTAGTAATTAAAACATACAAATTAAATATAGTTATGAATAATCAATAAGACCCTTATTAAAAATAAATATATAAATAAAATGGTTGCAAAATTTATGGTGTTCTAACTTTTTAATCTGGTTTAAAAATAGATTTTAAATTTAGGAGTTAAAAATGAAAGTAGTTCAGCCAAAGTAACAAATTTAGTAATAACAAAGCTGAATCATAAATTGCACAGAACTAGAAACAATATTTCCTTGTAAAAGTATTCTGTGATTAAGTAAAAAAATTATAATGAAAAATATACTTTGTTACTAAAAACTTATTTAATCGAAAGGAGTTTTTTTTTTTTACCAGATAATTAAACTTTGCTTTGAACAATGTTTTTATTTCACTTTTTTGAATAACATTGCAATTAAGTTCAAATAATCCACAATGCTCACCCTATAGTATGATAAAATACAAATATAATTAAAGTACAGCAATTATATAAATTCTATTCAGAAATAATAAATTATTACATGAAAACACTTGCTTGAACGATAGTTTTTTAGAACTATCTGGAATATGCAATGTTATCTTCCAAGGGAAAATTTTTCAATGCTCATTCGCAGTGAAAAAATTCCATCTTCCAATGAAAAATAATAATGTCATCATTCTCTATAAAAAGGCACCGCAGTTGATAAAGAAAAATTCTAAATATCTTCATGCTTACCTAATTCCTTTTTGTGGAGTTGACATGGTTGTCATAACAGTAACACCTCCACTAGAAATACCAGCAATGGGAATTGTAACATTTTTGTAATTAACTGCAGTCATACTACGATTCATAGCAGAAGATGACCCAAGGCGCATCATACTAGTGTGTAACCCAATAGGAGAACTCAAACGGGAAGCACTTTGATAATCTAAAAATTCAGAAGAGTTTAAAAATTGCTATTAAAAAGTAGATATTGTAGAAGCTAGCTACAAATTTAACAGCTTTGTGTATTCACCAAATTTTCCTAAAACATCAGTAAGATCTGCATCAACTTATCTTTAATATATTATCATTTCAATTAATTTATTTAATGTAAAAAATTATATAATTATTTTATATAATAATTTTTATATTATTTTTTATAGTTTTTATATAAATTGCAATTTTCGTTTTAATAAAATGTGATGATAGACAAAGGAGCAGGAAACACATTTTTCTTCATCAATATTATCTAATAAAGAACAATTATAATTCAAAAATAAAAGAAAAATATAAGCAATTTGATTCCTAATAGTAAAAGTACATTGTTTGAAAGGATAACTGCAGCATGATATGTAAAGGGAAATTTTTGAAATTTTTTTTAGTAATGAAAGTCCTAATTTCAAAAGTTGAACATTTTTCATAAAACCATTTATTGTTAATATCACTCAGTAGTAGCTGAAACATTTATTATGAATATTACTATTATTGATTAGAGATGAATTATGTATGGAAATAGAAAAAAACCTAAATAAAGCTAAATTCCAAATAAAAACTAAATAACTCTTCTATTGGATGTTTAAAATTTAAATCAGAAATTCAATTAATACTTTCAAAATACAAAAACTTAAGTATTAAAAACATTGATTAGTAAAAGACTCTTATATTGAAGTTCATTAAAACAAGTATAATAATAACAAGAGTTTTAACAATTAATCAAATGACAAGAGTTTCAAAAATTTAAAAATGAAAACACATTTACAACGCAAATAAACAATTGAATTTTGCACAAAAAGAAATTACTGAAGGATCTCAACTAACCATTTACCTAGGTTTCCATTTTTATCTTTTATAAAAAAAAATTCACTTTTCTTAAATAATGGAAGCATTTAGTCTATGAAAATTCTAGTTTGAATGTTATCAAATTTATCACTCATCTATAATTAAAACTACAACTTTCTTGCTCTGAAACTAAGTCTAATTAAAAATAAGACAAATAAAAGACATATTTATTTTTGAAATTTTGAATCAATCATCATATTCAAAATATAAAAGAAAATTGTAATTAAGACCATAAACAGAATCATAAACAGTGAGAAATATTTTGAAAATATAAGCTTACATAATGTACTCATTGAAGATGGAAGTCGTCCCATACTACGGTTTATAGTTTGAAATGAACCAAGTTGGGACATTGATCGTGCCTCAGCATGACCAGGTAAATTGTGTCTTGATCTGCTATGTTGAAATCCATTATGAACTGTTTTGTTAGATGAATGTGGTAATATAGGAGGAATGTGACAATTGAATGGAGAAGGAGTTCCATTTGTGTGGTCTGACTTAACTCCACCAACTTTTACAATTGTTATGCCACATGATGTCTGATTAACTATTTGCTGATTCCTATGAAAAATAATCACATATAAAAATCTAGGTTATGATTGGCATATGAAAAAATATAAAATATTGTCACTTAACACTTAATTACTTTTAAAGATTGAGATTTTCCAAGAACAACTTAAAGAAATGAACCATTTACATTAGGTGACAAAAGATTTTTTGTAATTTTAACTTTTTGGCTGTAGCACCACAGCATATTAAAGTCCATTAGTCAAGTACATTTGAAGTATTAATTCTACACTTCAACATTAGTTATCTAGTTATCGGCAGCACTTACCATTCCATTATTATATGTACACCTAACAAAGAAGATACAAGGACACATCAATAAGTAATGCACATATCAATTGTTATATAAAAAAATATAGGTAAAAATGAAATTAGTTACTAAAAACAGAATAACAGGATGCAAAATTTTGTGTTCGAGTGTATAATAGAGTGCGTTTGGATTGAGCACTTTCACTTTGAGCTTTTACTGGATTCATTTTCCTATTATTTATATTACAATTTCTTGCATACGAAAATATCACTTTACGTTATTCTCCAGGACCATGTTTTCTTCAAGAACACAAGAAATTTTTGAAAAAAGAATTGTAACTATTTTTAACTTTTACAGGTAAATACCTCACCATGCATGGAAATAATGCTGAAAAATAGCAATGTCATTTCTGTTTCATATTGTCTTTACAATAAGTAAGACTTTTATTTAATATTAATTAAGACTGTTACTAATTGATATCCCCTCAAATTGAAAATTTTTTTTTAAATAGATACTTATATGTAACTTCCAGTAATTAAAATATGGAAGTGAGATTTCATTTTTACACTGACTTAACAAAAAAATTGTTTTGTAACCATGGGCTAAAAATATTAACTAACAAATGAAATATGATTTTATTAGTACTTTTTAAATAACAGTTTATAAACTGTTATTTAAATAATCCATAGATTGAAAATTAAGTTGGTCGACAATCAGTGTTGGGATTATAAACACCTTAATCTTGTTTTAGAGAGGACACCGGGGATTTACCATTTAAAACTGCTTAAAATTAATCAAAAATTTTAGAAATCTATACTTCTGCAAATAGTTAAAATAGTCGTATTTTAAAGATTATAATAACAATTTATAAAATGTATAATTATAATAAAATTGACACATTACACAAATTCAAATATTATCTAAAATAACATAAATTTAAATAATATTTAAAGTTTGTAATAATTTCAATTATTTTAAACAAAACTAGCTCTTCTTTTTTCAACAATAAGATCCTCAACTAAAAACTGTATTTTATTAAGAAAATTATTGATTTTTTTCATGTTATAGTTTTTTGCAGATTTCTTAACTGATTAACATTGTTCACATGAAATTATCCTAAAACTTTTAGCGTCAGCCATTTTGTGGCAGAATGATAAAACGAACTATATTCAATTTTTTTTATAAAATATACTTTAAAAACATGGATCAACATTTAATAATAGTATGATTATTGAGTTGTCAATTTTTGCAAAAAAATTTTTTTCCTAATTTCTCAATCTGTTAAAATTAAACATTGTTTAAATTAAACTTCAACAAAATCTAGGTAAAATAGAAGAGTTTTGAATAGCTTAAGATAATTTCGACGAACACAATAGAAACTGTATTTTTCAAAATAGGTTTAACTATTGTGTTCAAAACCTGACGAACCCTGCTGAATAGTAATGTGCGTGTGTGTCTAATTATGATTGTAAGAATTTTGCAACTAAACACATATTTCAGATTGCAATTTGAAACATTGACCCCTGGCGGCTGAGTGGTAGCGCTTTGCGCTCCCATGCCACAGGTCCTGGGTTCAATCCTCGGGCCAGGCAAGGTTGACTCGGTCTTTCATCCCTTTAGTGGGTCAATAAATGAGTACCAAGCATGCTTGGGAACTAAACACTAGGGGTTCCGTGTTCGGCTGACCACCTGACCGAAACATCTGTTTCTGCACCCCAGAGCACAAGGTCAAGAAAAATGAGATGAGCACAGTAGGCCCTGGCCCTCAATGGGCTGTCGCGCCACTGAGTTTAGTTTTAATTTGAAAAATTACATAAAATTGGAGAAATATTCCTATAAATTTCTCGCATTTCACAAATAATTCTAATTAAAAAAAATTTTGATTGCGGAGTACATACCAAAAATTAATAGTAGGTGAATTTTTGATAGTTCCAAGTATTATAGTAGGTTTAAGATAAAAATGGCATTATCAAAATTTCACAGCAATTATTTAACTTAAAATAAAAAATCCATCATCAATCATATGCTAACGAATCAGATGAAAGAAAAAATGTTAACAATAGTTTCCACTTCATTGCTGTGAGACTCTTTTTGTAAGGTTCTAACTTTTTTCTTTTCTTTTTTTGTATCTTGTTATAATATTTCAAATTATTAACAAAACATAGTACTTGTGGTTAAAGTTTTTCTTTTAAAAAGTAGACAGTTCCATTCTTATTTATCTGACTCAATAACTATCAACTCTTTTGACAATTTTTTTAAAAAATTTTTCTGCTGAGCAATTTCCTTTTTGAACACACTAGCAGCTTTCGCGAAAAATTTTAAATCTTGTATTTTGAAGTATGTTATTAAATTCTTTAATGTTTAACTTTGAACATCATATTGTATTTTTGTATATAGTGAATTTTTGAAGAAAAAAATTATAATAAAACAGCTAATGTGTTTACCATATATATTTAATGCGCTACAATATTTTTTGATTTTTCTTATAGTTTAAAAGAAATTTAACAAGTATTAAATAAAAAAAAAAGCTAGAACACTTATTGAATGTAACAACCACGTACATTACTTTTTAAAAAGTAGAAAGGCATCGAAAAATTTTGAACAAAACTATACACATATCAGAACATTTTTTTAAATTTTACACTTTAAAAGTTTAAAGAATTCTATAGATACTATAAATATTATAATGTATTATAAAAAAAATATTTAAAGCTATTTTTAATATAAAAGAAAAATATGCCTCAACTTACTTAGAAGCTCTACAATCCATTTTTAATTGTTGAAGATATATTCGAATGTTAGAGGAAGCAGATGGCTCTACTTGATTGCAAATAGAAGTCAAATATTGAGGTAACAAAGATGGATACATATCTGTAAGACTTTTAATTACTCGAAGAAGTGCCATCAAAGTCCATTGGTCAACTTTGCCAAGATGTGCAATCAAAAATTCAAGCGTGTCTTTAGCTCTTTCCTATGAGTCAAATAAAAAATTAACAATCATGCAACAACAAATAATTTTTTAAAGCGATCATTGGCATTATCATTTATTCATATAATGGTACCTGTAAAAAGCATCAAAACTTCAAGATATCTTCATCAAAACTAACACAACAGCATAAAATTATAAAAACAAACAAGACATAAAAATTTACATACTTGATTCAATTTTCCAATGATTCCTAAAATTCTAGCTACAAGAATCAGAGTTCCAGGTTGAAGCTCGGCTGCCATTTTCATTTTTTGAACATGTTCAGTAAAAGATTGTGGACGCACAGCAGCCATATCTAAAAATATTTGAAGTGCTGATGCTGCTGCACTTGGAATCGTAAGGCACTCACTCAAATGTGGTAAGTTGCTTTCTAAAAGCTGTAAAAAATCAAATTTTAAAAAATTTCTAGAAATAAAACTTCTTAAAATAAAATATTTCAAATAAATGAGAAAGAACATAAACACAAATACAAGAGAAATAAGTTTCAAGAAATAAATTAATTAAATTTTAGAAAATTATGATTGGATTCAATAGATGCATTGAAAACTAAAATACTATCCTAGCATTATTGTGCTTTTTAACTTGTGCATTTAATTCTAGAGCTAGATCTTGATAAAATTGAATACAGGGCCTAAAGCAGTTTCGGTGCTTTCTTTATCTGATATGTAAATTTACTTCAAAATATTTGCTTTGATTCAAACCATATGAAATGAGGGGGGGTGTTCTCTTGGTAGAACGTATCTTAAAAACAGGATGATGATGTTAAATGCAATTTTGGTTGATTCAGGGACCCCACTCACTTTCAAAAAAATTTTATCAGCTTTTGTATCAGGTTTTTTGCATCAGAAAAGCTCAATTTGCAAGAGGTAAAAACATTTTTTCAGGGTTCATACTCAAAAAGAAGATATTTTTCCTTGACTTTTCCAGGAAGAATTATTCCAGAATTAAAAAAAAAATCAACAAAATTTGTATTTAATAAAAATGCAAATTAAAATTGCAAATAATAAGATTGCAACTCTAACCCCCATATTCACCATTGACACTGACCTAAAGCAAAACAACTAGTTCCGAAATCCCGGTTTGGAAATATTGACCACGCGTCGAAAAGTGCAATCTTCATTATTTTTCGACTGTCTGTTTCTGAACTGCGAGTTTCTTAACTAGCTCTTAACTTGCACTACAGTGGTAGATTTATAGCCTTAATAACAGTTTTTGTTTTCAATTATTGTGACTATATTTAAAACAATTTTTCTATTGAAAGGAGGAAAAAAAAAAGATTGCATTGAGTGATTAAATTTGAATCACTCTTTTACTGAACAAAAGAAAAACATGCTAAGTTTCGTTTTCCTAACTAACTTGTATTGATGAGCAAAAGGATTTGAGTTTTATAAAAGAATTTAGATATTTTATTATTATGCATATCATAAAACCGTAAGTGAAATTCAATTAAAAATACTTTTATTTTAAACAACAATCAAGGGGATTATGCTACCATCATTCTCATCCTTATTCGCATTTTTAATTTTTTTTTTCCATCATAACATATTATCGATAACTTAAACCATTGAAAAGAATTTCCTTTTTAAAAAACTTTAAACAAAATTGTATAAAATAAACTTCTCAGCTCAGATAAGAATAAATCAACATATTCCTATTATGCAGAAGTTATAAAGGACTGTTATTGTGCTGCCATCTGCCGATGATGGTGGGAATCCCTGTCGGGGATATGGTGAATAAGATTACAATTTTTTTTAAAGGTAAATGATGGACAAATATTCCAAAACTTTTAAAATTTTAAAAAAAAATCATACGTTTAAAATTTAATTATTTAAAAAATTGTAAATGGAAATATATCAGTTGTATACGCACCAGATGTCTTAAAGTAGCCAAGCCATATATTAAAAAAGATGTCTATTAAAAATGGACATTTTATTTCTTACAGTTTTCAGTAATTAATCTCGTCCAAATGGTTCTATTTTTTCCAAATGCTCTACAGATTATTTCATGGTTATAAAATTTCAAATTTCTAGATTTGCAAAGTTATTTGATGAAGATTATTGTGTGGTTTAAATGTTACCTCAGATAAAAATTTGTACTGATTACATAATATTTATTTCAGCATCATTTTTAATATATATTTAAAATAATGTATATATTTTTAATTTCATTTATAGTTTTATTTTATGGATTAAAAAAATTTAAAATTCCATTTGTTATCTTCATATCTAAATATTGCACATTATTTTGCCTGTTCATCTATAAAAATGCAATATGTTAAGATTTTCTATTTTAAAAAATGAATCATAAATAAGATAAGTAGATAGAAAATATAAATTATGATGTTAAAACCGCAAAATTAATTTTAAAAAAAACTTATTTTAATGATAAATACCAAAACACAAAAAGAAACAAGCAAATAAATAAATTGATTGATGTTATTCATTTAATTGAAGTTAAGCTAAACTATACTAAACTAAATAAAATCAAATTATAATAAAATAAAAATTAATTAAAATCACCAAATTAAATAATATAAAACAAAATTTTTGATTCAAAAACGCAATATATTTCATACCTAGTTATAAAGAAAAAAAGAAAATGATTACAAGGAAAACTTATTAATCATATTAAATAAAAACAAAGCTTAAAAATTGCCAAATGGAAATGATAATTAATAGAAGTGCTTACATATATATTAAAACCCTGAACAAGGCAGGAAGAGATCAATTGAGTTTTTAAAAAAATCTTTATTTCAAATCTCAAGAATCAGAAGAACTAATTTATTCAGTATAAAATTTATTGTGAATGGAAAAAAAAGGGAAAAAATTAAAGGAATCAGAAATGTATCACTTGTAAAAAGAAAAGTCTGCCATATGCTTCATTAAACAATCATGTGCTTTTAGTAACAAAAAATTTATGTTTAAATAACTATCTTCTGCTTTTATTTAATAGAACAGACTATTTTTAATGAAACCAGATGTGATTCCACATCAGGCAACATTTGCAAATGATAGTGCACAGTCATTTTTTACTGAATGTATTCTGAGAAATCAGAATACATTCAAGTAAAAAATATTTTGTTTTTAACAGATATCAAATAAATAAACATAGCAGATGATGAAAAAACATTTTGCTCTTAATAATGAATTCATGATTCAAAATTATAAAACAATAATTCGTCATAATAAATCAATAACGAAAATTGAGGGGAAAAAAGTGGATTAAAAAAAAGTAACATATCAATATTCTCAAGGCAGAAATTCCATGTTCCTAACCTAGATATCAAAGTGACTGCACTCCAGAAACGCACTCTTAAGAATAACAAAATGTTCAGGATACACTTAATAAAGGTCGGTTCGGAAAAAAAAATCTGATGTTTTTTTTTTAAATCCCCTCTTGTTCAAGCACATGTTACTGTTGAAAACAGAAGAGTGAAACCCCACAATTTGATAGGTTGTCAAATTCCCTGACAATTTCCAGATTTGGGTTAAAATTATGATGTTCCTTGATTACTACATAAATTAAAGTTTTGTCACAATAAGTACATGAACTGCTTTGCTAGATAACAGAGCTGAGTCTATTTAATAATTAAACAGAACATTTAGATACTTTGCAAAATTTGAACTTACGGATGATTTATGCTTAGCAATCAGAGAGAAAAGATTTAGCAAACTAAGTTTATCTGCATTTTCACATTGAGGTAATAATGACACCAAAGCCATCACATGCTCATGAATAGGTTCCTTGTTTACAATATATATTTGAGGCAACACACGTGTAAGAGAATAATTACCTAAAAAAGAAATAATTATTATTAATTCTTGAAGATATGTACATCATTTTTATATAAATAAAAGAAACTAAATTTGTGAATAGAAAAATGAGCTAATTTTGACAAATTTTAAACTTCTTTTCGCAGAAACCTTACGAAAATATTTTGCATTATGTAACTAATAACTTTTATAAAATAATCATTATAACAAACTATTTTTATGTAACTTACAAAAAAATTTCAAACTTGATAATCTTTTAAGAGCTTGAAGAAAACCATGATTTCAATTTTACAAACAACCAAGCTTTGTGGAAAAGTCATTTTGTAGTATATTTTGTCATATTATACATTTTTCTCAAAAATCACAGATAAAGTTTATATTGAAAAAATAGTACAGTTGAAAAAATATATAAGTAAGAATTATTTCTTAAATGAACATTCACCTACCAAAGGGTTTTCAATTTAGACAAAATTTATATGTGCTTAACTTTTAGGATGTTAAAAACAGTTCTTTAAAATTCTGCAAAAATATTTAAACTTTATTAATATGAAAACTTAATTAAATTTTTAAAGAAAATTTCCTATAAATTAGGATTGAAAATAAAAATGTTGTAATAGTCCATTGCAATTGAGAAAAAGTGATTATTAAGCAGGGTGCACAGCCAAATTTTTCAACAAAAAGTAAGTACTTTTTAAACACTCAAAAAATATTTTTAATAACAGTAAAAAGATATAATTAGGATATGTGCACTAATAAAAAAATTTTCTTCTTATTTGTTGAAAGTTCTTCATATATACATTAACAAAATACAAAATTATTTTCTAAAACTTTGAATGATTATGATAAAATAACTAGTTTCTGACTAAGAACTCCTTTCTTAATTATATTATCCAACATAAAAATAATTTATGCAGAATTTTAAATGTATATTCAATACTGAGAGGCTCATTCTACTCTTTAATTTAATAATTACTTTATTTAATCATGTAAAAAAATATAATTCAAATTTACAACTAATTTAACTATTATTTAAAAAGGGTATTCAAGAAAATATTAACAAGATTAATATACCTGCATTTAAGTAATATAAGTAATAACTAAGTAATAATAAACCCGCATACTTACTTAGTATAATTAATGGGTCATAATTACCTAGTATAATAAATAGGTCAAAATTACTTAGTTTAACAAAAACTTAAGACTTTTAGTAAATTCATAAAATTTTCTAACAATTATTTAGAAATATGAAAAAATAGTGTTACAAAAATTAAGGAATTGTTATGAAAAAAAAAACATTTTCCCACTCAAAAACAATAGTTCATATATTTGATTAAATTTAATATTCATACAAAAGTGCTAAAATTTTTTAAATAATAAATGCATTTGTAATCCCGAGCAGAATACCTTAAAAGAAAGAGTTGTGAATATTTCTATACTGACATAAAAAAAATATTGCAAAATAAAATAAACTTACCACTTATAATACTATCAATTATTGGTTGAACATGAACAGCAAGAAGATCAGCATTATTTATTGCTGCCAAAGAAAGGTAACTTGATAAGTTCCTACTAAGCTCTTTGTTACCCCGATGTAAAAACTTCACAGCAACAGGTAATGCTAATTTCATGACAGATTTTTTACTATGATTCTAAATAAAAAGAAGAAAAAAAAGTTATAAGTCTTACAATAGCATTTAATTGCAGAGGAATTTCAATATACATATACAACTAGCCACAAAACGAAAATAATTATTTTTATCTCATTGAAAGGGATTTCTAAAGGATTTCTTCATATATACTAATTGACTTGTAACAGTTGCACTATGTTCTAATCATTATATTTTTTAGACCTTTCGCTAAGAATTCTCTTGTTTCATGAAAAAAATAAAAATTTTTATTATTATTATTATTATTATAGCCTAGATTTTATGATTAACTAAATAATACACCGAACAATACTGAACGTACAATGCACAAGAAGTTATGATAAAAATTCTAGCAGATAGTGACCAAGGCATGACATGAAAATGCAAACTTTTGAATGGTAATAATTTCATGAGACCACAGTGCTTTATTTAAGATAATTTTTCGAATATTTGATATGCATTCTCTCAAATTACAAAATTTTCTCACAACAATTAACCTTATTTAATATATTTTGTTAATAAAATAACTATTTCATCAACCTGGATTTGTTGATAAGCTCAATGTCAATTAACAGGAAGTTCTGTCAGGAGAATTGATCCATGATTATGATGTTGATCAGTAAAACAGTATACTAACTACATTATAAAAAACCACTTCCTACTTCAACTAATTAATAATCAAAATAGAATGTTTTAATTCCAAGTATCTCCTCTAAGCAATACATCATTTGTACTCGGAAATATTAAAAACTGTATTAAATAAATAAACTACCCAAAATAGAAATAAATGGTACAACATTATAACCTAATGACACCTTACTTTAACAACTAATGCATTATCTGAGCAAAATGAAACCCAGTTTTTCAATGAAATTTATTGATGCTTCCAATAGTTTAAAAATGCTTTCTTATCTGGCTTCCACCTCTGTTGTAACCAGGGTTGAGTTCTTGACATGACAAGCATAAAAAAATTTCAAAAACTATCAAAAACCTAGACTGATAGTTACAAAATTCTAATGGAAGTGAAAAATATTTTATAGTAAATTTAAAATGCTTATACTCTGTAAATAGAATAGGCATCTCAAGGTAATGTAATTTCTCCACTTTCTACATTTTCCCACTCTCCTTAAATGAGTAGCATGAGGCATTTAATACTTGGAAAATTCATCTACAGTAGCAGAAATTATAGTTTTGAGCAGAAGAAAAAAAATTGACTTCATATTTAAATTTTCTTCGATTTATTTCATTATTTTTTTGAGATTTCTCATATTCAACGAAATTTTAAATACACTAAATGAAATCTTAATATTTTATTTTGTTACAATTTGCAATTTTCTTTTTTAATTTTTATTCAACGAAATTTTAAATACACTAAATGAAATCTTAATATTTTATTTTGTTATAATTTGCAATTTTCTTTTTTAATTTTTAAGTTTTACAACTGCGTGAAATACAAACTAGAGCTTTGGATTAATTTATAAATAGAATTGTCTAAAGAAAGAAATAGTTACTAAGTGCATATATTTTAATATAATAAAACAAGGAAAGGATTCTGAGGAATCTCTGTTATTCTAGTAATTTAATTTTTAAACTGTATGTTTCATACATCTTGTCTTTTTATAATAGAAAATGATAGCACATAGATAATTAATAGAAATTTTTTTTTAAAAATCTTTTGCATTCCTACAAATTTAGATATAATTTTTTATTTAAAAAATACTTAGTCGCTTCATTTTTTTAGCATTTATATGATTAAGAACATTATTTTAGTCATATTAAAGAATATCATTAAAAAATACAATGAACTTACTAAAAATATACAGCTCACAATATCTGAAGCAATTTTTGCATGAGGAGGATCTTCATCCTTTGGTAAAGGTCGAAGATCGTGATTAAGGCACGATTCCAAAAGTGATACCATAGCTGGTGCATGTTGTTCAATTGTACCAGTATCTCTAAAAAAAATATTTGCACGTTAATAGCTAATTAAAATAAAAACCAAATATAGCAGATACCCTCTTAATCAGTTATAAATTAAAGTGGTTACTGCACTCAGGAACTGCCTTCGATTTTTTTCCAATTTTTATTATTATTTCTTTTAGACTACTTTTTATAATCTCAGTCAGAAAAATAAATAACAAGAATTCTCTAAATTTTTATTCAGCTTCACTTTATACAGCTCACAAAATCTGAAGCAATTTTAGCATGAGGAGGATCTTCATCCTTTGGTAAAGGTTGAAGACAAAATTTCTACAATGCAGTCAAGATGTAGATTCATTTGAGAGCTAATCAATATTTTCTAGCAATTTCCAGCAAAAAGCAATTTGATGAATATTTGCCCAACTATTCCACCGAAATAGCTTAAGATATAATTAAGATATATTTAATATAACTCGTATTTTTATATAAGAGCTTAGCTAAACATTAGGGTAAAAAAATATAATCCTGCATATTGCAATGAAAAGTCCTGCATTCAGATGTTCCTTCCCTGAACATGATATAACAGCCTAAGGAATAGACCATTCTAACCTTTCTTTAAAAGGAAAAAATAAGTACTACATCAACAAAAAAAATTCTGAAAAAGAAATAAATATTTCCTCTTTATCCCTCTCTCTTAAACTGGCGAAAAAGGGGAAAAAAATGTATTTTATTTAGAGAAGGTAGATTTTGTTTTAGATTTTTATCCACACTAATTAATTGAAATATTCCACATCTACCCCTTAAACTATGAGGATTAGTAACTTTTAAGTGAAAATGAAATAAAAAAATATAGTTCTTTTTTTTTGTACACTGAATAACAAAGTTAAAAACAATTTACCTTATCGCTGATGTCACTCTAGTGATACAAATTTCTACAACACTCTGGTTATTGTCATTTTGTGTAAAATCTGAAGCACTAGCAATTTCTTGTATTTTAGACAACACTTCGGAAATGTCAGTAACTAAATTTTTGTCATCTATAGAAAAGAGATCACCAGCTCTGGAAAGATCACGGTTAGTCAAGACTTGAGCCAAAAGTTCATGCATGATGATATATTGTCATAAGGAATCTGTCAAATAAAAATACAAAATAAACATACAAATATATAATAATACAAAAATCATTTCAACATCAATAAAGTGACCACAGAAATACTTATTTTTTTTGATTTTTAATTTTTCTCAGCTAAAGGAATCATTATTTGCACTTAAAAGAAAAGCTAAAAACAAAAGAACCATTTAAGCACACTTCTCTAAGTTATCACTATTTTTAATTTTAACGACACTACAACTTTTAAACAAAAAATTATTATTAAATGTACAGTGCGCAATAAAGGACCACCCTGAAAAACTTTTGATCTAATGATTGGATTTCCACATTCTTCTAGGTCTCATTCTCAATAGCTCGAGGGGATGACCTTAAATATACTAATTAATAAGTGCAGTGCCCTAATTTCTAAATCAGGCTGTAACTGAAATACTTAATATTTTTAGCTAAAATGATTGAAAGTGTTTCATGATTATAGCAAACTAATCTCAGAATCAAAGTTATTTTTAATAAAGCTCAACATCTTCATGAATCTAAAAAGATAAAGATCTAATTTGTGAGTTAAATATCAAATGAAGAATAAATTTAGAGCGGGAAAGATGAAAAAAATAAAAAATTATTCTAAATTACTCTTGGGAAGAACAAGTTTTCCTTCATTATTTATATGCACAAACTACATAATCAAAAAGATTAAAAAGTTCTTGTCTTTAAATAAACAGTTAAGTAATTAAGTATAATAGAATTAAGTTGAATAAATGGCAATGTATTTCTTATACAGATAATGAAAAATAATTATTTAAATGCTTCACGTAACTTTAATTCACACAGTCACCTTTTATTCATTAGTTTAATATGGACATCTAATAATAATTTACATAGATTTCCATCGCCTTATTTTTCTGGAAAACCATTTTAAAAATATTGTATAAATTAAACTGAATAAAAAAAAATTTAGCTCAAATCAATGATTTTAAAAAAATCCAGAGCTTTAAATCTAAGTTTTAAAAAACGGAAAAAAAACATGTGATTTACATCATACCAACCCTACTTGTGGTAAAAAAAAAATTTAAAAAAACATAACATTAATAGCCTGTCAAAAGAGAAAGGCAGTGAAAAAACCATTCACTCAAGCATTTTATCAGTTATTATTGCATCAAAAAATAATGTTCTGCTTAGTAATCAACCAAATAGACAAATGAAAAGAATTGGCCAGCACACTAAGTTTACAACGTAAAGCATGTAGACATATCATGTAATCACAGCTAGATTTAGCGTAGAGCAATGTTGCCTTTTTAATCCTAAATGTATGTTTTGATTCGTCACAGAGTAGAAGAAAAAGACTATCTGATCAAAGAAAATAGCAGACATCATTAATTTTTTGGGAAAAGAATACACTCACAAATCATACATCAGATAACAGGTGAAAACGTGTCGACCGTAACAAAAATATTTTAATACAACAGCCAGTTCAAAGATAATCATACAGAAATCCATGATCCATGCGTCACTAGTAGCAAAAGTTTGCTTTCGAAGTACAACACACTGTAGTTTTGAAGAACAGAGGAGTTTCAAAGTAGCTTTAAATTTCCTCTCACATCATAGCTATAGCAAGCTATTTATGTTGGTGAAAATTCATTATGTCCCATAGTTTCTCTGAAATGAGATAGCGGACAAAAAGAAAATAGAACTGATTCAACTAATAGCAATATTTATACAAACATTACATTGAAAAAAAGGTTCTAGTAATTTATACAGAACATTTCAGAAATGTAAGTTACTGAATATCATTGTCTGACATTGCAGTGGTTGACTGCCAACTAGCGACATGCCACAAATTACAACAAAAAGGTAAACAAAATAAATCCCAACATAGACTAAGTTTGATTTGACAAGTAACATCAGTAGAGGTATATACAGTCGAACCCCGCTATAGTGAACCTGGGATATAGTGAACACTCGGATGTAGTGAACTTTTTAGTGGTCTCGTCCGTATTCCTATTTAAATAATGTCATTTTTAACGCTTATAGTGAACAGCTTAGAACTTGGAAACTCGGTTATAGTGGACTCAAATTTCATTTCTTTAAATATCTTTTTCAGTCCTCCATCTTTAAACTTGTAGGTGTTGGGACTGAAAATGAATGCATTCCTATAAAATGTGTCATATTACTCTCCTTTATGCTTATCACTTTTAACTATACTGTAATAAATGTCAAACAGATCATTTATCTTATACTCCCCCCTCCCTGACAAGCCTCGCTTTATCTCTTTTCCCCAAGCTTGCTCTACAACTAGTTAACTTGGCCACCTGCTGAATTTTTGGAATTTTCTTATCTGTTCAAACCATATTCTTTACAAATCACCCCTTGACAATCAAGAAGGGGAACAATTTAACTCATTCTACAGCTGCTCTCTTCATATTCTTACATTATCTATTTGAGACAAGATTTTTATTTCAAAAGCAGTGAAAATGGCAAATTCTCTAAAGAGAAAAGCGTTTTCGATAGAGGACAAAGTTAAAATTGTAAAGCGTATTGATGATGGAACCAATCAATCGACACTGTGTAAGGAATTTTCCTTGTCAAAATCTACAGTTTCAAACATTTGGAAAAATCGAAGTGCAATTCTTGCGGCATACGACAAAAACATGGTTTCATCGAAAAAACTGCGTGGAGCTGAAAGAGAAAACGTAGAAGATGCTTTGTTAAGATGGTTCGAAATCTTGTTCAAAATGTAAAAATCTTGCATTCTTTGCACATTGTAGATAAGAAAATTGATGAACTCAATTTAAAATCAAATTGTGTTCAATCAAAATTCACGAATTTTTTTCAGAAAAAATGTGAAAATAAAACTAATATTTAGCGACGTAATTACTTTTTCCATCAATTTTTGCTTTATTATCTGTTAATTAGTTAATAATTTTTTAAATAACTTATGCAAAATTGCAAAGCCAATTTTCAATTATTCAACTGTGTTATGCAAAAAATATTCTTCAAAAAATTTGGATATAGTGAACCATCGGTTATAGTGGACACATTACTGAGTCCGCAGACGGTTCACTATAGCGGGGTTCGACTGTATTTTGATCCTATCACTCTATAGAATGGTACAGCTTAAAATGACTGAAAATGAAAACTTTGAATTTCTCTTTTAAGTTAAGTTACTATTTTGAGCAAAATCAATTTTTTTTTTAACTATATGTTAGGTAGGACTGTGCGATGTTAAGATTTTAGCATCGCAATGTACTGCCAAGCTAACATCGCAATATTATGATGCGTTGCGATGTTTCGGCATATTATTGTTTTACATTTGGTATTGTGTAGATTAAAATTTTTGCTCTTTTTGATTGATTGATCGATTAAGGAAATTATGTTCTTGATTTAAACTCAATCCAGGTTACACATTTCTCTATCTTAAATTAAGTTCATTCTATCAATATTTAACAAAAAAAGAAAGGAATGCATAAAAAAGTAAAACTAATCCTAGAATAAAAGTAAAATATTAACAATTTGCATTTCTTTTAAAAATAAACGTTGCATTTTATATATTTTCTAACAATGATAATTATTTCTCAATATTTAAAGACATGGATGTTTGCAAAATAGTGGTTAAAAAACAATAATAGGCAGGATTGATTGTAAAAAAAATCAACAGGATTTGCAAGAAAACACTTCCATAACTAAGAGATAAAACAACACTCTGATTCTCAATCACATTGGGATACATCATGTCAGCAATGTGATGATTCACGATGTAACCATCAAGCATGTAACGAAGAAAGATAACTATCCTTGCCAGAGCTGTCACTGTACACTTACGGAGGAAAATGCTCTTTGCGCGAGCTTGCAGGAATCGATGCCATGATCAAGAGAAGTGCTCTTCGCACGCACTTGAAACCATCAATGTACTATCGGAAACAAAGCTCAACTTCGAGTGTGTAGTCATCGATGCCAACAATACATCAGGAAACATTGTATACATTTCAGCAAATCGCAATTTCGGATGCTTTGAAAAATTGCCTATCCAAATATCGGATCAGCGATGATTGTATAACATCAATATTTTCCAATGCATCGATTTATCGCCCAGTCCTAATGCTGGGAGCAGCTGAATTTGGAACAAAATGTTTATGATTTGCTTGATTAATCTAAGAGATAGAAGACAAAACAAGCATTAAAGGATCCATATTTTTGACTGCTATCGCTCATAAGCAACTTAGTGCATATATTGAGACAAAAATTCAAATAAATCGAAAAAGATAGTTTTTTTTTTTAAAAAAAATAGAGTAGATTTTAGAGTCTGATTTTTTAATTTTAAATATTGTCTGTACCATTAAATTAACTTATTTCAAGTAAAATTCCATATAGCAATATAACTGCATGCATGTTACTCTGCTCTTAATTTTTCACATTATATTATGTGACATTAGAATATAGAAATAAGGAACTAATTAAAGAGATAAGAATGTTACATATAATCAACACAAACACAAAACTTAACAGACTCAAAGCATTTTGTGGTACTATAAAATGTACATTTGACAAACATACATGCTGATTAATGATTTTTAAAAAGATCTTACAAATTCAATAGCTAATTAGCATGAGTAAGTTCTTACAGCTGATTGTAGCAAAATTAGTAAGATAAGAATGTTGATCTGAATTGAATCATCATTTATTATCATTGGTACACTGTAATAAAAAATTTTGTGTTACATGTGGTCTTGAAAAATATTTGAATCAATGCCATATTTTTTCAAAGAGGATGAAAAAAAAGGTTTTTCTTACTTGAATTAATAAAAATGATTACATAGAGCAAGCTCAATTTGCGATTTGTATGAATGTTAAAATAACATTCTAATGATGAGATATAAATTTGCATTGGAAGGAAAAATATGGGCAGTTTAGATATTTTATTATAAACGAGAAGTGGTTTTTAAAAATGACAAAATTTATGATAGCAGAATCAAGTCAATACTTAAAATCACGACTTTAAAGGAATCGTAACAAATTAAATACTTACCATTTTATTTGATTTAAAAAAGGCATTTAAGCAAATTAGGCGTCATTGTGAACCACATTGTTTTGATGGCAAAATAGAACTAAATTAAATAGTATCGCACACGGTGAATTTTAAAACAAAACAAGAAAAAAAATAACCGGTTCCATTTCTGTATTCAAGTTCAAAGCCCTATAAAAACAAACGTGACAAATTAAAAGTCCTCCTTTTTCATTGAAACACAGTTGTGTAACAAACAGTAAAATATTAAAAAATATTTATCTAGGCTACTTTATTTTTCTTCAGATAATTTTATGTGACGGAGAATAAGAATTGTCTCAAAAATAGTTATCAAATGTAAGAAATATAAACAAATGGATGAGTTTCTTTTAAAATCCATAATAAAATCCATTCAATCAGCTCAATCAGTTACAACAGATTGTTTCGAAATCGTTCGCTTATTGTTGAAACTGTTTTTCAAATGTGCTCGGTTTATTCAGTTGAGTACCATCAAAAGAAAGAGAATCTGTATTTGCGGTAAATCAAAAATTTTGTCGATTAGAGACCGTTTGCACTGCATACGATTCACACACTACGCACTTTTAATCGCCACCAAGATGAATGGTACGGTACTTTTATTTACGTCGCACTTTAGCAGCACTATGAGGTTTTGGTGGCAGTCTGGGAAGCATCCCTAAGGATTAGCCGGAGACAACATTCATGCGTCACCTCCCGTTTTATAGGGAGGACACATTCACACAACATCCATCCATTCACAGATCATAATTTTGACCTGAGCCAGAGCACAATCTTTCTCCGATCTAATACCTCCAGAGTATTGACTTGTTACGGGAACTCGGAGGACTTTGTGACCCCTACAGATTTGGAGTCCACCAGTCATTATTTTGTATACGTTGAGTCTTTGAAAGTTGAGGATCGAACCTACAACCTCTAATACCAGGGGCTAACGTTTTTTGTGGGTGAATTAAAAATGCCAAATAGGTTTTCGTGGTCACGCGACTGTGATCGTAAGAGTGTGAATCGAATGCAGAGTGTTTGACTCTTTACCTGTCAATGCAAAAAGGGATTTCAACACCTAACGGTGAAAATATTAACTGATTTTAAAGGTTTGATTCCCTGCTATATATAGGTATTAATCACTTTCAAGTGTTTATTTTTAATTTGAAATGTATTTCTAATTTTTCTTTTAGAAATAAAACAGTTTTATCAAAATCTCAATTGATCTTGTTATTTTATAAATCCTATTTTTTTAAAAGTCATTACTCTAGTCGTCTCTCACGTTGCTCTAGTCATTTGAAATTTTACAATTATTATACATTATTCACATTATAAAATTGTATAATGAAAACCACACTATATATATAGAATAGTTATATTTTTTTTCATTTGAGAGGAAATTTTAACTTTAAAACGTTTTTTCTTACTACCTTAAAATATAGCAATGTATCATTATTTATTTTCATGAAATAAAACAGTAGCTTTATCCAAAGATTTATTTAAGATACTTTGCTTCAATTTTTAAATATTTATTTTTTGGAATAATTGTGATAATAAAGAATATAATATAACTATAACCAAATTACATACTTTCATAAATTTAAAACTTCTTTTTTCAGGGAAATTAAAAGGAGAAATACTTACGCAACTTAAATTTTTGGTAACAAAAAAAAAAACCTGAAACAAAACCCAAAGACACTCGTGGAAATGTTTTCAGGGTTTCAAACTAGGAAAGCATCTAATATTTTGCAAATTATCAATATATTTTTTTTTTTCATTCTGTGAAAATAATTTTACATGGGTGAATTAGAAATTTTTAACAATTCTATAATTTAATTAAAGCCTCTATATGTACCTTACCAACAATCTTCGCCAAAAATTTGCATAACATTTTAAATTCAAAACCAAAATAATAATGATTATAAATATCACGTTTTATCTAAATTAAATTTGCTCAAACGTATAATTGTATACGAAAATGAGACGAAAAAACAATTTAACACTCATTTTTGCATTTTTCGTCATTTAGTATTAATGATCGAAATTTGACTACCATCTGTTACTAGTTTGAGAACGTTGCTATCACGAAATAAACCAATGTCATTGCTTGTATTTCGCTGATAAGAGATCATGCACCACGTACATAATAAATAGATTTCCCAAGGGAAACAAGGTTCAATATGTATATATTTTAAACGGGACTCTTTTTTAAAAAAAAAAATTAAATTGTCGGAATAAATTTTCTAATATTAATGATTTAGCTATTGAAAAAACTGTATTATGCATACATTTAAAAAATATGTTTTCGTAAAGAACGTATAAGATCTTTTGAATGAAAATTTAAACATTTAACACTAACATGAAAATTTAAATTTTCATTACATTGATTTAAATTTTTTTTTAATCATATTGTATACATATTCTTCAGCAAAATTTTAAATATAAAGTCGAAGAAATTTTTTAACATTATCATTGTTTTACCCTCATCATATATTATTTTAAACATGATAAAAATGTATATGCGTATATCCCTTTTGTCTCAAATTTCAACCGAATTCTTCAAATTTAAAGTAATAAACACAAAATTGATGTTATAAATACTTAAACTTACAACTTTTAACTCAGTGGCGCGACAGCCCATTAAGAGGGCCAAGGCCGACTGTGCCCATCTCAGTTTTCTTGACCTTGGGCTCTGGGGTGCAGGAGCATATGTTCCGGTCAGGTGGTCAGCCGAACGCGGAACCCCCAGTGTTAGTTCCCAAGCATGCTTGGTACTCATTTTATCGACCCACTGAAGGGATGAAAGGCTGAGTTGGCCTTGCCCTTCCCAAGGATCGAACCAAGGACCTGTGGCACAGCAGCGCGAAGCGCTACCACTCAGCCACCGGGCGTACTTAAACTTACAAGATTGAGATATTATTTAACGTCAGCGATAGAATAAAAATGCTCCCGATATCACATCATTACACTTTAAGGCAATTGAAACAGTGCAAAATATTTTATTACAAATATATTTAATAAGACACTGAATGGTAACCAGAGAAAAGAAATTCTATGCAAGGAACAAAATAAAGGAGGAAAATATGAAAAAAATAATAAATAAACGAGAAAACGAATCTTAATGTAAGACCTAACTTTTGTTGAAATGGCAATACAAAAGCATTTTTTTTATGAAAATTAATTTTTGTTTCTTATCATGCTAAAGATAAAAATCTTCGATCAATTACAAGTGACCAAATTTTAAATTCCTTCTACTATTTTCATTACATTTTAAGTACTACTCTAAAAATTTTCCGACTTTAAACAAAATTAAAAAATAAATTTAAAAATCTTTTGTATTTTCAAATAAAAAAGAGAAAATTGAAAACCTTTACTATTTTCAAGAAACGAAATGACAAGTTTTTTATATAGATTTACATCTTTTACATGTATTATATCTTTATCCCTTCATCCACCTCTAATGACTTTCGCGTGCATCGCAAAAATTAAATATTTTTTGCTTAAAATACATATATATATAGATGTCAAAATGAGCAGCTACATGTGGCGTATAGCAGAACTCTCTACCTTCTATCGATGGCAAAACTTCGCAAGCTTTCCCCATTAGCGTGAGGCTATTCATATCATATGAGTTGGATCACTCCTTATCGTTCACCAACTACTTGCATAGTTTTTTTTTTTTTTTTTTAGATATTTTCGCTTGTTTAATTGACCTGTCTTAAACTAAAAATAGCATACAGATTTCAAAAAACTCAAAATAGAATTAAAATTTCAGAAACCGAAAATTAAAATTCTCACCAAAACAGAGTTATTTCAATATCTTTTTCATATATTTATTCTTTTAATTTTTCTTAGGCATTATTAAAGTTTAAATTCATCTGAGAGAAAATGAAATTTAAAACTACGTATGGAATGAAAAATAAGAAAAATAGAAAAATTATTAAAATAAAATATTTCAAAAAATATTTTTAAAAAAATTTCATATTAAAAAAATAAAAAGCTGGAAAAAAATAATGAAAAGATATAATCTTGTCATCAGTTCACACGATTATATCCTCAAAAAGAAGTGCATTCTAATATTGTATTAATATAGCCAACGCAAAATATATCAATACAATAGTGTGAGGAGTCCCCCAAAAAAATTGAAACGAAAATAGAACATATTAAATAAAAAATACACGAAATAAAACATGTCCAGCAATAACAGAATGTAAGAAAAATACAGAATAAAATATAAAATGTAATCAATAAAGCGAGTAACAAATTCAAATGAACTTGCAAGTTCCAGAATCCTTCAAGAATTATTTAAAATATTTTCGTAATAAGTTTGCCAGATTACAAAATATGAAAATAGAAGCATAAATAGAGGTTAGAAGCGGTAATAAAGGGATGAGATCTTTTATGGCGCTTTCTTACTGCAGTACTGAAGCGCGTTTGATTTGTTAGTTACCTTGAATCAGCCCGAAATGGATGTGCGTAAAGTAATAATATTATACTGGATAATTTAAAGTTTATTATTAATAAGGTCGATATTTAATTACACAATTTTAATAATTTTAGAAAATAAACAATTATTGAAAACATAAATATATATTGAATCATAGAGGTTTATATTGAAAAATAATTTTTTTGCAAAATAATAACATTGAAAGGAGGAGAGAAATAGTCTGACGTCACACATACGTTACATGAGCGAGAATGAAAGGAAGGTGCCGTAGTAGAAGGCAAAAAAAGAATCAAAGAACGCTCGATATTATTAAGCCCTCTAATTAAAATAATCCCAATTTCTTTTTAATAAAAGTGGAATATTAATCCAAAACTTTTGAAATTTTTTAAAAAGAAGTGAGATGAGCTACTCATTTACAAACGTGAGTGACTGCAAAAAGAAAAAAAAAACAGATAAAATATCAGATAGTCTTTAAGCTATAACAGTAAGAAGCACTCTCGGGGAAAAATTTTTCAAACAGCAGTGATGGTGATAGTTATTTTTTTCCCTCAATACAGAGAGAAATGCGATGCAAAAACAAATGTGATTGTGATAATTTCTAAAAAAAATGTATTTAAGCCTTATTTTCACTCAATCTCAAAAAATGAATGAAATTACTTTTTTTCAAAAAGTTTTTGGGAACAGAAAAATGCGCCTGTAAATTCGTTTTCACTGTTTCAAATTTAATGATTAAAAATACAATACAAATCTCAACAGTTTATTATTTTTTTCTGCTGTAATTTAGACTTTGAATTACTTAATCAAGTATTATATTTAATTTAAACTTGATCATTTAGCAATGCTATGATAAAAAAATTTAAAACAAAGCATTGTCTTAACATAAAAATAGAAACTGAACGACCCGGGGCAATATAGTGATCATAATTTCTTTTAATGGTGACATTTTCAAATCAAACTTCTATTGGATATTGTTTCCAGATTGATATTTTAAATCATCTAGGTACATAATTTTTCTCCATCAAAAATCATCTCACGAGCAAATATATCCTATATTTGATTATTTTTTATAATAATAGTTATTGAAACATTATTATCTTTACATT